AATGATTACATTGTACTAACCAGTGTACTTTGGTTTCTAAGCACAGTATACCAACTACAAAAATGTACACTACACCACTGGTGCTGAGCCCCCAGTGCTGACAGTGGCTCTTGGCTTGAACAACGTGGTGGCCACGTAAGTTCAATGATAAAGTTATTTCACTGGGTCAGTTCAAGTACAAAGAATATTAATTTTTTAAATACAACGGATTCTTTCTTTTTCGAGTTAAATTTAATGCCGTGTGACCAAGATAACTGTGTTCATTGTTTAATCAGTGACATGAGACGCCATTTTTCTTTGACCCATCAGAATAAATGCGGTCATATATTTAACAGAATCAAAATTTAACATCAAAACATGTACACATTGATTTGCTGATCTGGTTCAGATTAATAAAAACTTGGCACGCTTTACTAACAAGACAACAGAACATTTCTGAAGGCATCTAGATTACTGGCAAAATAAAAAGTTTAAAGGAAGGAATGGAGAAGTTTAAAGAAAGGTAGATGGAGGAAGATGTATGTTGTTGACCAGAATTAGCACGCTTCTTCCAACACCAGCTCAAACCCCCGGTACACTCGGTGCGTGACGACTCGTTACCTTTGCAGAAGATAAATCAACTCCGGTACAGAGGTCCATTTCAACGCTACCTTTCCAGCGTCTCCGGTCAGGGTGGCTGGGCATTGTCAGAAGTCGTGACGATTTACTCTGTCCAACAGACAAGCTTCCTTCGAAGTTGTACGGCGTTACGCCCGGGTGAGTTCACAGCGAGGCGCTGTGACTCCGCTGAGATGGGCAGACCCTCGTCTCACGGTCAAATCCATCCGCTATTGATTGAATCTTAAAGTTCCTTAGGAACTCTCAGGAAGACTCCATAGTCAGAGATTCCACTCAGAAGTGGAAGACTCCATGAAAGACTGAAGAAGACTCCGGTCAAAGACTGACTAGTTCCAGGAAGTGTTGACTTTTAAAGAGTCCTCACTTCCGGTCACTTGGTACTTACTGATTGGTTGAAACAACCAACAGGGGGGTGTTTCAGTGATGTCAGAGGGTTATTAAAAGCCAAGAGAGGCTGCAGGAATGTTTAGGAACGATTAGTACAGACAGAGAAATGTTATGGCGAAGTGAGACAAACGCAGATGCCAGTTGAAGTTATTTACCGTCTGCTAGGTTTAAAAACAAGACACTTTGTTCTAATAACTTGTTTTCTGACTGTCTCTCACTTTCGACCGACATCACTGACTTCTCATTCAGACAGAAGATCAAAATGCATAATTACTTTGTAAATAGACATTTAACTTGATTTTTAATTTAAATGAGGTTTAAAAATCATTAATACTGTTTCACAGTTGATTTAAAATGAGTGGTTCACTTCAACATTTAGAAATGGTATGAACTAACACACTTTGATTATCAAGATATTCTAAAATAGTAATTATAATAAAAAAAAGAAGAGTGTTCTTTCAATTGATTAATTCAGGATACAATTAGACAGTCTCTGGATGAGCTAATTTGTATTTCTGGATTCAATTCAATGAAATAACAGTTCCTGTCCCATGAAGGTCTTCAGAGACAGGTTGTGGTCAGAGGCCTAGTTCACTACATCAACCAACATTAAGGCAAAGAAGACAGGTAAAAAAAGTTCAAAGATACTAATAACTTCAATACGACGGAGCTTTAGGGCCACGCTAAGAAAAAATTTTTTTTAAAGCCAAAAAGTTACGAGAATAAAGTTCTAGTATTACGAGAATAACGTTGTACAAGACTATTTTTTGCAGCTCTTGTTTATTTTTATTTGTTTTCCACGAGTCGGATCACGATGCAACCTGTCGATCAATCCAGTAGGCGTATCAGCAAACGACCAATCCGAAGCTAAATGCTCCTTACCTGCAGAGAGCTGCTCATCAGAGCGTACCACCTTACTGTAAGCAGGTTCAAAGTCCTGATAATCGGATGCTGATGTGATAACTGATTAAGTATCTCCTTATTTATAAAACCAGTACCGAAGTATAACTGACCAAGATGCTGAACAATCTTTTACCACAGTTAAAATGCGGTAAACTGCTTTGACGTGTCGGAGTTCGGATAATATTACGACTCAGCTTCTGATTGGCCATTTGCTGACAGGCCTACTGGATTGATTGACAGGTCGGGTTGTGGATCATCTGACTCGTGGGAAGAAAAAAAAAAATCCACGAGAGCTAAAAAAAAAAAAAAAAGTCTCGTATGACTTTATTTTCATAATATTGACTTTATTTGACTTTACTTGGACTTTATTCTCGTAATTTTATGGCTTTTAATTTCTTTTTCTTAGCGTGACAATGTAATTTTTTTTTTCTTAGCGTGTCCCTAAAGCTCCATCATTGGGGTGTAACGGTACGCTAAAATCACATTTCGGTTCGGTTCAATTTCAAGGAGGGCGCAGTTCGGTTAATTTTCGGTACAAAAAAAGACAAAATAAAGACTTACAAAACGGTTATTTTGAAAATATGCCAAGTAAACAATACGTTTGTATAAAAAATAAATAAAAGCGACCCATTTGGATGATATTTTAAATAAACGGCACTCTTTGCAATAAATAAACTATACTAACAATAATGAAAATCTTAATAAATACAATAACAGTCAGAACCAGAACAATAAGTAGCAACAAACTGTTTACAATCTAACTAGTCAAGTGTTAAATTTTTGGCCAAAACGACCAACTTGTCCACATTTTCTGCCAAAAGTTGCAGTGACATTATCTCCAGCAGTGGAGAAAACCACTCACTAACAATAGTAGCAGGAATAAAGAGGTAGAGCTTTGCTAATTTTGCAGCGTGGCTGGGTTTGGCCTCATTACTCACAACCTCTTGGACCTGTTCCCACCTGTCCCTGGAAAAGTTCAGAGTTCAGTCATCCCAGACTTCTTAGCTGGAGGTGATCTCTGGTGGATTCCCCTGAACAGGAAGACTCCGCTGTTATCTCTGTCCCAGACTGGAAATAAAATACAAATAGGTTAAAAACAATGAATTAATAAGATTATAATAATAATTTAAAAAACTTAATTATATAATAATAATAATAAAAGCCTCTTCTTGAACGGTTTAAATTGATGGGATAAATATGGGTTTAGTTGTTATACTGTATGTATGGATTATACATATAATGAATGTAAGATTATGTAAGTGGTTAAGGAGTGGGGATTTTAACAAGTTTATACTTCTACCCACTCCCTTGAATATGTAAAACAAAAAGTTTTGACATCATTATGCTTTATGTTGTTGATTTTTTTTTTTTTTTTTGCATATTCAAAAAATAATAAACTAAACTAAGTGGTTTCCTGTTGGTTATTTTATTTTATTTTAAATGAAGTGGGCCGTATTGAAGTCACCTGTGGGCCGGAAATGGCCCATAGGCCGCCAGTTGAATAGCCCTGCTCTAAACCCTCATGGTAACACTGGTCTGAATTGCATATTCCCACTGACAACGTTTAACCATTTTTTTGTCTTTTCACGAAATCCCTCTGACTGCAAAGCATCCATAATGCAAAACCCCGACAATGTTGTTGTAGGAAAAGGGGGTGGAGCTTCTGCAGGTAAGGGGCGTTTCACTTTGGGACAAATTGAGATAGCTGATTGGTCAGTTGGTAACGAGCCTACTAGATTGATGGACATGGCAGATTGGGCTTGTGCAAAAAATTCATACATTTTAAGGCCCGTTTAAGTGTAATATTTTATTCCATATTTTTCCAAGTTTATTCAATATTTTGGTTGATCTAAGGTTTGAGAACTAAGCTTCCTTATGAAATCCTAATGACGGTTTTCTATATTTTTCAGGGGTGCTAAGTTAAGTTCTTTTTAGGGGTGCTTGAGCACCCGCAAAAGCGGCTAAAATCGTCACTGTTTCAGTGTCTAATAAATATTTGTCAAACTGCATAAAATGCATTACAAAAGCTGGTTGAATGAGCTGTGTTACTATAATTAAAGCCTGCAGAACAATGGTTTTGTAGCTGAAGCAAAAAAAATCTGAGAATGTAATTTCAATTCTGTTTGTCAAGATAACAAAAGTTTATTTTACTTTAAATAATTAATAGTTTACCTATAAAACCATATTACATTACATTAGAACTGATAGAACTTCATGATTAGAACTTCATGTTTGTGCTGATGTTCAATGTTTTATGTTATGAGTGTTTAGTGTATATTTAGTTGATGTTTTTCTTAGTTCATATCTTAGATGTTATTACTGTTTTTCTTATGCATTTTATTGTTGGATGTAACTGGGACCCCGTGTACATAATTTCGCTCCACCACATGTACCACATGAGGTGCGAATGACAATAAAGAAACTCTGACTCTGATAGGATCTTTTCAGTGGCTCAATTAATAAAATTAGTTTGATAAAACCACAAAGGTGTTTCTGGGCTACACAGTTTGTTGTAACGTTTAAAGTAAAATCACACTGGAATGTGGTACCAGTGAAATGTTTCGTATAATTTGTGGTTTGGTAAAGTTTAGTAAAGATAAAGACTGATGTGTAACAAGTTGAACACACTTCAGTCTGCTCAAATCGATAGGGGGAAGGGTAGGCTCTTCGCTAACAGGTCTGAGATCAGTTTTCATGGGTGGTACTGTTGCTGGATTACCTAACAACAGGCTCCAGATAAGTGTACAGAGTCTTCGCCCTCTGTGGTGGATATTGAAACGCGATTGGTCAGAACCATTGACGCCGGCACTGATCTCTTTTAGCTATTGGTGTAGCTGCATGTCATTAAATGTCACTCAAAGTGATTGACCAATCAAATGTAGAGTTTGACTCGTAGTCCCGCCCATTTGTTCGTTGACGCAGAGGGTCATGTGTTGTTTGTGCTGTGGCCCGTAGAGATGTGTACAGGAGTAGAAGGAAAGGGAGTGCTAACGGAGCTAACTGGTCCCCCCCGGTGGCAGAAACACGGCTGGACGTGGTCATGTTTTACACGGTAGGCTTTATTTCATGAAAAAAAGCCCGCTTTGGATTACCTGCCTCGCTGCTACAAAGAAAATAGCCTTTTTTTTTTTTGGAGTAACAAAGCCGGTCTGTGTGCGGATCGCAAATCAACCGAGCGAGTCAACGTTAGCTGGCCTAGCCGGACTCGGGAGCTCGTCTCCCAAAACAAGAATGGGGTCTAGGATTAGCCTGCTACTAAAGTGACCTTTGATTGTAAGCTCTCATGGCTAATTTCACGAACTACCAGGAAGGCAAGGCAACGATGTTGTTGGCGGAGGCGCAGCAGAGGGACGTGGGGACGAAACCTGCGGCCACGAACGGGGACGGCTCGGTTGGGGAACCCCCTTCCCTGATAATTAATATCGGCGGAGCAGCAGCAGGAGGAGGCGGCGGCTCTCGTCTCCACCAATATTTGCCGCCCTCCAGTCTCCACCAACACAACCTCGCACACGAGTCGCCAAAGGATCCGCAGCATCACTACCAGCTCGCTCCGCAGCAGCAGCATCTTCTCGGGGAAAACGCCCCCGAGTCCCCGGGCAGAAGATCCGGCGAGGACGCGGCCGGCGGCGGCCATGTGTACGCAGCGGTGACCGTGGCCAACAACGCCTCGGACTCCGTCGACGACATTCGGAAGTGTGGCTATCTGAGGAAGCAGAAGCACGGACACAAGCGGTTCTTCGTGCTTCGGGCTGCCAGTCACCTGGGCCCGAGCCGCCTGGAGTACTACGACAGCGAGAAGAAGTTCAGGAACAGCCTGCGCTCGGCGGCGGTGAGCGGGGGGGCCGTGGCCCCCTCACCCCCCAAGAGGGTGATATACCTCTACCAGTGCTTTACTGTAAACAAAAGGGCGGACTCGAAAAACAAACACCTTATCGCCCTTTACACTAAGGACGAGTACTTTGCCATCGTGGCTGAGAACGAGCAGGAGCAGGAGGACTGGTATGTCGCCATCAGTGAGCTGATGAGCGAGGGGAAGAGAGGGCACGTGGACTCTGATGATTTGGATGATGGTTATGGTACTGTCAGTCCTGGTACTGTGTTTAAAGAGGTTTGGCAGGTTAATGTGAAACCCAAAGGACTGGGTCAAACTAAAAACCTCACAGGTGTTTACCGGCTATGCCTGTCCACTAAAACTGTTCACCTTGTCAAACTGAACTCCGAAACCCCCTGCGTCAACCTCCAGCTGATGAATATAAGGCGCTGTGGACATTCGGAGAGCTTCTTTTTCATCGAGGTGGGCCGCTCCTCCTCTATTGGGCCTGGGGAGATATGGATGCAGGTGGACGATTCTGTTGTGGCCCAAAACATGCACGAGACCATCCTGGAGACGATGAAAGCCTTGAAAGCTTTCGCCGAGTTCCGGCCGAGGAGCAAAAGCCAGTCTTCGGGTTCCAACCCCATGTCGTTCATCACGACGCGGCGCCACCTGGGCAACCTGCCGCCGAGTCAGACGGGGCTGCAGCGGCGGTCGAGGACGGAGTCTGTGGTTGGCACGCCGCCCTCGAGTAAAAGCTCTGGGGCGAGTGGCTATCGCTTTCGCACATCCAGCGAAGGCGAGGGGACGATGAACCGGCCCTTCCGCTCGGCCACAGGAAGTCTGGTGCACCTCAACGCGGCTCGTGCGGCTCATAATCGTCAGGAAGCGGCCGGCGGCAGCAGTTGGAGTGGAGTTGCCACGGGAAACGCGGGAACAAGCACTGGGAGCAGTCGCTACGTCAGAGCCATCCCAGGTTCATCATCCACCTGTCACGCCCGCTCCGCGTCGCTTCCCGTTTCCCACTTTCCCTCCACCACCAGTCCAGTGAGCGTTTCCTCCAGCAGCGGTCACGGCTCCGTATCGGACACGCTCACTCGCCCGTCCAGTGCATCAATATGCGGCTCGCCGTCGGATGGTGGCTTCAACTCTTCGGATGAGTACGGCTCCAGCCCGGGTGACTTCCGGTACTTCCGGGTGAGGAGCAACACCCCAGACTCGCTGGGAAACACGCCACCAATCAGAGAGGAGAACTGTCTAAATGATTACATGGCCATGAGCTGGAGCCGGGAGGTGTTTGGCACCAGCGTGTGTTTTGGAAATGCTAGTGGAGGTGACGCACCACGCGAAGAGAGCACATCAGCTGTGGAGGATGAGCGATTTTCATCTTCATCCTCACTAAGGAGGAGGACTCACTCTTTCTCCAGACCTACTGGGGGTGCGACAGGAGGCTCTGGAGTTGCAGTTTATCAGAAAATGACCCAGACCAACTCCTCTCTGGACGAAGGGTCAGACGTGGTGTTGCCATTTGGCAGTGGGCTGCTCCGCGGTGGGCCGTCCTCCTCTTCCTCTTCTCTCCGCTCTGACTACAGCTCCTGCTCTGAGCACAGCCAGCAGAGCCGTCCCTCCACGCTGTCCCGGACAGAGTCTGCTGCTGAGCGCCCCCCGCTTTCCTCCTCCTCTGCCAAGGAAGACGGCGGCTACATGCCCATGATGTGTGGCGTGGCCGCGTCGCCCCGGGATACCCCTCCTGACTACATGCCTATGCAACCAACATCTTACCCCTACAACGCGTCGCACTCTCCTCAATTAGGTACACGCCCCGCTCACCACAATCCACAGATCCAGCCTCAATCTTCCACAGACTCTCACGGCTACATGATGATGCTCCCAGGGGGTAGCGGCACCTCTCCCTCCCCGGTACAGTCCTCTCCAAGCCCTCACAGTAGCTCCAGCATGGCTGCTGCCGGTCGGAGCGACAGCATAGCAGAGAGACCGCAGAACGGGGAGTATATGGACATGTCCTACAGCAACAGTGGCAGGTGCAAGCTCATAAGTGAAGATAGTGGTGAATATTACACCCCTGTGGAGACCCCCAAGTCTTACAGCCCCTATTTCTCCCTCCCTCGCTCCTACAAGGCCCCCACCAGAGAACGAGATGAAAAAGAGGATGGGGAGTACGTACCCATGAGTTCTCCTGCTAAGCCAGTGTATTCATCAGTCGCAACAGCTTCAATGTCAATACCACAAAAAAGGGGTGGAGGAGGAAGCAGCACCTCCACTCCCTCTCATCCTCCTCCCCCCTATGGAGCTCACCATACAACCGCAGCGATGGCTGACAGGCGGATTGTGAGGCCCACCCGCCTTCCTTTAGGCAGGAAGAGCTTCCACGGTCCGCTGAAGGTTAGCGAGCCCTCCGCAGCGTCTGCAGGCTCCTCGACTTCAGTCCCGGCTGCCGACGGCTCGCGTGAGGGCCCTTCCAGTCCAGGAGAGTACATTAACATCGAGTTTGGTGATCACTTTCCACACCAACAGCAGCCTCCCGCCTATCCGCTCTCAGCCCAAGACGAAACACACCCCCTGAGTTCAAGTGACCCTCGTCGTTCCCCTCCCCATTCCCAGGATTACATGAGTGTGGAGGTAGGAGCAGACCAGCAGGTTGCTGCTGGATGTACGAGTAAGAATCAGTCACCCAGGCCCAGCCTCGTTGCGCCCTGGAACCCACCCAGCTACATCCGACCTCTTGCCAATAATCCAGGGGTGCTGGCTTCCCCTGGAGTCCAGCGAGGAGATCGCTGGAGGTCAGTAGGAGATGATTACACAGACATGACGTTTAACCTCAGCAGAGGTGAGCGGACTCAAACAAGCCCCACAGCCATGCTGCAGCACCTCTGTGTGATCGATGGACATTACGGTTATCTCCCATCCAACTCCTCCTCTATTTCCCCTCCTCTCCCCCCATCAAGCCACCAGCTGGAGCCAAAGGTGGTGCGAGCAGATCCCCAAGGCAGACGGAGACACAGCTCGGAGACGTTCTCTTCCAGCTCCTCCTCTAATTCAACTCCATCCGGAGGAGGACTTGGCCCCTCATCCACCCAGCCCTCGCTGTCTAACCCCACAGCCCCCAACGGATCTTACGAAGCAGAGGGACAGGCCTTCAAGTGGGCCAGCTCAGCTTCTTTCGACAGCGTTTGGATGTCCGTGGAGGGCGTAGGGGATTTACTGCCTCACCAAGCCCAGCCGGGCTCCACAGAAACGAACACAGACTCGAGGACCCCAGCATCCTCCTCCCCCTCTTTTTCAGGGGCTGGAGCCAGTAGCAGAATGTGCAGGAACATGTCTGTTGGCTACCAGAACGGCCTCAACTACATTGCTTTGGAGCTGAGGGAGGATGGGAGTTGTACAGAATCCACAACGTCTGGATCTGGTAGCAGCAACGGGAGCGCAGTGACGGCAGGGATGGTGCCCCCGCCAGAGAACGGAGCCTACGCCAGTATAGACTTCACCAAATCAGACGGAGTCACCACCACAACCAACGGTGAGTTAAAGTTTTTATCTGTCAGACTGCTCACTGATGCACGTCGTCTCACGTGCACCTTTATGCAGCAAAGCCTTTAAATTTAACCAGGTCAGTCATAATGTAGCATTTCTTTGTAGTTGATGAAATTCAGTGGTTTTTTGTGACAAACAGGCAAAAACATGTTAAACTAGAGAAAATGCTGTGTGAAAGCTTATTGCTGAAAAACAGCTGAAATTAACTTTAAAAACATGCTGAATTCTAGATGAAATGAAAGAACAAGCCTTAATTAGCAGAAGAAAGCAAGAATAACTTTTTGCTGAGTTAGGTTTAAATTAGCACAAAATGAGTAAATTTGCTAAAAAAAAAAAACTGCTGAAATTAGCACAAAAATAGCTGAAATGACAGAAAGAAGCTTAAACTAGCAGAAAGAGTTGAAACGAGCTAAAAAATGTGGAATTAGCTGAACAAGTTAAAATTTTCATAAAAACAGGTAAATAGTAGCTGAAATGGCTGAAAAAGTCGAACCTAGTAGAAAAAGCTGAAAGGAGCATAAGAAGCTGAAACTACCATAAAGACATTAGTCTGGAAGTAGCGGAAATTCATTCAACCTTTATTTAGACATGTTAATCCCATTGAGCCTCGAGGACTCGTTTACAAGAGAGACCTGGTTTCAACAAAGAATAACGACAACAATAGACAATCATAAAAGAGGCATACAAATTTAAGTTTCTCTATTTTTTTATTTTTTTAACAAATCAAAACACAAAAGCAACCAAAAGGACAATCAAGACGAATAGTAGCAAAAAACTGTTAGATTAACCACAAACAACTTGAATTATGTGAAAACAGCTGAAATTAGCTAAAAAAAAAAAAAGCTAAAAAGAAGTATCTGGAAGATGTAGAACAATTAAATTAGTAGAAGAAAGCAGAAAGAATGCAGTTTTGCCGAATTAGGCTGAAAGAAGCAGACAGCACAAAAATGTGGAAATTATCTGAAAACAGCTTAAATTAGCAACAAAAACAGATAATTGAAAAGTAGCTAGAAGAGCAGAAAGAAGCTTAATTTACCAGAAGGAAGTGGAAGGAACACATTTTTGCTGAATTGGGCTGAAAATAGTTGAAACGAGTGCAGAAAATGTGGAATAACTGAAAAAGCTAAAATTAGCATAAAACAGCTAAGTAGTAGCTGAAATAACAGAAAAAGCTGAAACTCTTATAAATAAGCTGAAAGGAACATAACAAGCTGAAATTAACAGAAAGACGTTAGAAGAAACACAAAAAATGTACTTAGCAGCAAGAATATGAAAGGAGCACAAAACAGCTGAAAGTAGCTGGACAAAAGTTTGCACACGGAAGCTGAAAGAAGCTGAAGCAGAAGAAAATGTGAAAGGAGCAGTAAAAGTTTGTAAATGGATCTAAAGATATGAAGGATGGAAAAATGAGGGGGAAAAAAGGTCAGAAAAGGCTAAATGTTTCAAAAAGCTAAAGTCGCACCCATACCAAAAGTCACAGCACCCTTCTTCAGAAAGAGCTGGACGTTTTGATTTGTGATTTGTTGAAATAGCACAAAAATTGTGGAACGAGAAAGATGCTGCAAAACGTACGGAAGAAAGATGTGTGAATGCTTCCTAAACGCTCACACTATTCTTATTTTATTCTTCGCTGGAATCCAAAATAAACCCCGAGAGCTGTGTGCTATTAATAGTTTGATCTTGTTTGAGTCGTCTGCTCCTTTGTCGTGTTGCACTTCATATCTAGACTGTGTGATCTCGACAGCTTCCTTCCAGCTCTCCAAGCGTCCAGCTGTTGCCTGTGAAGGCTTCTGTCTGCAGGAACGTTGTTGTAGGAAGTGGCCCAAATGTGTGGTCCGTCTTGAGGGGTTTGTGCCAACTGGAAGACAGCTGGACTTCTGAATGAACAGAGGTTTATGTTAGGTCAGCTGTGGACCGAACTACCCCCCTCCATAAAAAAGGCCTTGTATCTGGTTCTGCTGTGCCCGTTTGTGCACATGCTGCTGTTTTGTTTGTGTCGGCATGTACATAAAGTGCACTCGTGTGTGTGTGGGTGTTTAAACCCTTTTTGTCTGCCCTAAGCTGGTCACTTGAGACATTTTTTAATTCTAAAAACATGTTTATTTATACCAAACATGAAAAAATGCACTGGCAGCAGAACCCTTCGTATGAAGGCAAAGCACACGATGCACATTTGAGTCTAGTTTGCATTCACTGAACTCATCAAATTTCTTCATTTTCCTTCACGATTGTTGGTTTAGTACATTTTAAAGCCATGGCGTCATTTTTAAACTTCTGTCTAAATAATGAGAGATTTCTTTCTTTTCACTGTTAAAAAAAAAATCAGTTCTTTAAACTTTTGAATTGTCTTTTTCTTCTTTGCTCATTTAGTGTAACTTGGTGGCTCCTGTCAAGAGCAGTGGCAACTGGCTGTAGCACAACTTCACATCATCATATTTGTGTAATGCATAAATGCCAGTGCAACTCCTTTATGCAACATAAACAATGAGTTATAATATAATAATATATTACATTACTGACAACTGTATTATAAACAAGTAAACAACATAGTAATAATGCATGGTTTTCTAGTTTTATAATAGTTTATATATATTATATAATGTTAATAATAGTTTGGTTTCTGCCATCAATGATTATTTTTATTGATTATTATTATTGTTATCATATTAGTGCTGTTAGGGATGATTCCAGAGCTGCTCTTTGTCCTCAGTGTTTAAAATATATTTGTGTCAAGGTAGAAACTATGAGGTCGCCGGTTCAAATCCCTGCTGGGGGACATTCTGGGTTGAGTTTGCATGTTCTCTCTGTGCATGCGTGGTTTTCTCCGGGTACTCCAGTTTCCTCCCACAGACCAAAAACATGCATGTTAGACTGATTGGTAACTCTAAATTGTCCCTAGGTGTGAGTGAGAGAGTAAATGGTTGTTTGTCTCTGTGTCTCTCTTACCCCTTTTACCCACGGTATGTAGAACCGGTCCCTTTTTTTAGAACCCTTGGCTCTGTGGTTCCAACCAGGCCGAGCAGGTACCAAAACGTGACGTCAACATTGTTTATCAAATGATGTCAATTGTTCCAACTAGTCTGAGATCCCTTCAAGTTATAGAAAACCCTTTGTATAAATCTATATGAAACTTACAGGTTTATGTCAGTAGCTGTTTAGTTTGGTCTTTAAATTTAGTTAAAAAGTGAAGCCCTACAACATTTATCTGACTTTAGTGTTCATTAATAATTGTTTATCGGAGCCAAAGAGTGTGTGACAACACCTGAAAAGGTAAGTGGGTTTGTTCGTGTATATATGTGACCTGTAGTGTAGCTACAGGAAACAAGCTACGTGTGTCACTGGTAAATTACAGGCCTGTGGTTATCAACAGCTCTGTCTGTTTACATTTCTGATTTACACGCCCTGGGTGGACCGCTTTAGGCTTTAATACTGAGCTGGTCACACAGTTTTTAAGGTCCCATTCACACAGAATAGTTTTTTCTTTTTTTTTTGAGAACACTTTAAAGCTTTATATTGTTTCAGACACGAGTCCATGTGGAGAGGCCCCTAAACCAGGGGTGTCCAAATTTTTTCAAGTGCATGTCAGAATAGTTAAAATGACAGAACTCGCAAGCCACAAACTTTAATTTTTTTAGATTTGTGTGTGTGTCACTCACTCACTTATTTACTCACTTACTCACTTACTTACTCGCCCACTCACCTACTCACTTATTTACTCATTTTATTCACTTATTTACTCGCTCACTTATTTACTCATTCATTTACTCATTCATTTACTCACACACTCACTCACTTATTTACTCATTTATTTACTCATACACTCACTTATTTACTCACACTTATTTACTCATTCAT